CAGGGGTGTCCAACCCGCGGCCCAAGGCAAGTTCCAATGCGGCCCAATAAACGTGTAAACAAAACCGACAAATGTTTTAATTTTTTATTATTTATTTATTTCAACGGCATAAACTCAAAAAAAAGTTTCACAAAGCCGTAAACCTTTATTCATATTTTATTTTTGAGTGGAAAGAAAATATTTTCAAACACTGTACTTGGAGATGTGTGAATGCGGAAGGATTACTAAATAAAGCTGGAGTTGTGACTCAAAGGATTATAGACCCAAATTTGGGAAAAGGAGGGAAGGATGAGAAAGGACAAAAGATGTAGTAGTGAGAAAGGTTAAATAGATCTTCTGTTCAGCAAATATGGAACCGTAATTTTTCAACCTTTTACACTTCTTTATCTTTTGTCCTTTGTCTCTTTTTCCCGCACTTGGGTCTATCTATAATCCTTTGATTCACAACTCCAGCTTTATTTAGTATTTCTTCCAANACAACAAGGTGTGGCGGGGTCTGCTAGTAGTATAATAATGTAACTCATAATTATATTAAAATATTTTTCTTGTTTTAACTTAATTTTAAAAGTTTTTATTCTTACTCTAAAATTCAAACATCTCTTTATAGTGTTTGATCTAACTTTCTACTAAATGATCATTATCGTGGAGAAAGACCGGCTTAATTCTTGGCCTAGATTTATTAAAATTGGATATTGATGGAACCTTAATCTAAGGTTCCACTAGTAAAATCTATTGTAATAATCTAATTACGTAAAAATTGATCTTAAAAAATATTCTGTGTTAGAATATAATTTTACAGGGAGATCGGAGAGAGTTGCAACACTATAGAGTTTTTTGATTTTGTTAAATATGCATACATTGATAAGCAAATCTAGTTAGATTTTATTTTCAGCTGCAGACTAGTATTAATTTTTAAACTGAATACTCATTTTCATTTTTATATCTAAAAATAACAGAACAGTTCAAATGCTGCCCTATCACTGAGGCAAGTTGCAACACAATTTTACTATATTAATATATAGATTTATTTCCAAACATGATCTTACTGCAACGTTTCAGGTATACTTTCAGCTGCTTTTCTTCACTATTAAATATGTCTACTTGGCTAGGCGATTTATAGCCAGTATTCAGTAGTTGTTATCTCCTGATTCTTTTTTCTTCTGTAATTTTATTATAAACATTGATAATGTGCAATAATAGATATTTTATTTTTCTCCAACTTTTCTGCAAAAACAATATATATAGGCTATATATAGCCTATACTTACGAGTCTTCTGCTTCTGGAATATCTTCAGATGCTTCAATCATAACGTCAGTTGGAGTCTTTTCCTTTTCTGTTTTGCACGTGTAATTTTTAATGTTGTTCTGCAAACGAAAGTTCTTTTCATGATCATAAAACTTACACCTAACTCAGTTTCTTTACTACAACAAACATTACAATATCAACGGAAAGAATGAGGTTTAGAAGAACGATACAACTGAATAAAGTGGATAAACGCCAAGTGTTTTAATAATAACACAGTCTTGTGTTCAATAGTAAAGAACGATACAATTTTGTATCAAACTAATGTTGTTGCAACTTTCCCCATATAACAAACACTACTTGCCATGCTGATTTTTTAAAAGATCACAGTAGTATTATCATAAAATCGTCCAACGCATTAATACTACTACAGCACGCATTAATACTATATAGATACATTACCATTCCTTCAAAATAAATAGTTGTGAAACTTAGAGATTTAGTTTAGAGCCGGAACAATAGCCTTTCCCTTATAAAAAATATCTTGTTTATTCCAGACTACCGAAATTTCTAGAATAGAAGTATTGTATAATACGCAGTACCACCTATTTGCGAACATCAATTTTTAAATTGCAACGTTGCAAACCTATCTCTTTTGCATTTAGCCCTGGTCTCCACTAATAGTTTTAATTTTATCATTATGTTATTATATTTTATTTGATTTCAGAATTGTCCTTCCTATAACTTATAAGTTTATCAACGAATTTTTCGCTATAAAAATATAAATTTCTACGAGTATATAACCATTTAAATCATTTTAAATTATTCGCGAAATACTTATTTGTGTGTTTCTCATAATTTATAAAACATATTAGATTTTTCGAATTTTTTAAAAACGAATTCATATCTTGATAATTAAATATTTATGGAAAAATTATTTTTATTTATTTTATAAAATTAATTTTGTTAATGATTATTATAATATCCCAGCATCTTTTGCCATGGAATGAAACATAGTTTGAGAATTCTGTAGAAGAACGTCAGGATTTCCATTTTCTACGATTCTTCCATTTTCTAAAACGATAACTCTAAAAATAATAGATGGAAATTATTTCATCTCTTGCAGAAAAATCTAATTATGAGAGTTTCTTTTTCATGAACGTCACTTACCTATCGCTGTCCATGATTGTATGCAATCTGTGAGCGATGGTGATGACGGTGCAATGAGAAAACTCTTTTCTAATAGTATTCTGGATCAGTTTATCGGTTTCTAAATCTATAGCAGCCGTGGCTTCATCCAGTACTAAAATGTTGGTTTTTCTTAAAAGGGCACGCGCTAAACACGCCAATTGTCTCTGACCGACACTATGTAGAATATATAAATATTAAAATATATATATCATAGATTATATTACAACTGTTAATCCTTTTTTACCTTAAATTTTCTCCTCCTTCGCTCACTGTATGATCTAAACCTTCGGATAAAGTGACAACGTATGATTTTAAATGCGCGTGTTCTAAAGCTGTCCAAATATCATCATCCGTGAATTCTTGTAAAGGGTCTAAATTCATGCGCAAACTTCCGGTATAAAGTACAGGATCCTAAAAAAATATTTCGTAAATAATTTACGTTTGATAAAACTTCTTTTTCTGTATAAACTTCAGTTTATATTGATATTCATGACTTTATCAAGAGAAAATAAAACGAAACAATAAAAAGAAATAGAATTTATCATAAAATATACACACATGTAAATTCGTTATACGTGTATAGCAACTATCAGATCTATTTTAAAATTTTCTTTGTTTATGTAAGTATCCTCGACGTATACATTTCTTTTGAGGGGTAAAAGTTTCTATTTTGCTATTGTTTAAAACAAGGAATTTACATTTGGTAACAATGAATGAAGATTATATCAAATTAATTAAAATGGCTGACGGTATTTTATACATTAAAAATTCGTAGAAGAAACTAAATACGTCTTCACATCATACGTTATGTCCAATCATCAGGACAAACAGTCTTCCTTTACAGAGACGATCTTTTATAAGAGGCTCTGCCTCTTAAAAAATATGCAAAACAGTTTAAAATATTCACTCCAGTTAAACCAATAATTAAAAATACATTTTTTTAAAATGAAGATTATACGTAGTATCATATGAGAAGTTCATCATTTGCTTAGTGTTCGATCGTGCATATTTTCGAAGAGATCATCCTTGTTTTTAATTTTCATCAATTATCAACACACAGCATTACATTATCTATAAATAAATATTAAAGTAAGATATTCTCCTAGTAAAATAAATCTTTTGTCGCCAAGATAGACACTGACGTTAAGGAGTAGAATATGATTTATAATTATATCTTAAAAATAAGAGCAGACATTTGTATAATCTTAATTAAAAGTGAATTTTTAGTGAATTTTTTTTACGAGTAATTACGTTATTGTTACAAAAATTATACAGAAATATGTTTGCAATTTCCTAATTCCTGATTTAAAATTAATGTTTTTGAATGGAGGCATCCATAATGGTAACCGTCATTAAATTAATAGGAGATAACCCTCTTAGTGTACGCAGGGTAGAAAGAGTTGATCTTGCTTTTAATTCTCCTTTAATGAATAAATCAAAGCATTTTAACATTTCGACATTCTTCAATTAATTTAATTGAATAACTTTCTTGTTCGTTTAAATTTTGTATTAAAACATTAAAATTTTTACAAAATAAGGTCAGTAGAATGGATAAACAGTAAATATCCTAGAAAACAAATTTAAAATGATAAATAACAAACAACTTTAAACATTAAAATTTTTGTCTTGTTTCTTTCGTATCTCCTTAAAAAGATTTTCGTAAAAATAAAATAACTTTAATTCATAAATAAAAAGTGAAACAAAAGAACGATTTTGTATCTCTAAACAATGCCAATTTACACTTTTTTTTTATCAAAATTGTTCTTTATATTCTAAGAAATAATAGCAAAACTAATCTGAAATAAATTTTTTTTCTATGCTTTCTCTTTTACATATTTTATTAATTAATTAAATTAATTAATAAAATCTTTTTATTAAGTTTTATGATATTAATAAATTTATCCAACTGTTAGAATTTGTTTATTTAGCATAGAACTTTTTGTATTAGTGTAATATATAGGACTATATTCAATAGTTTCATTTTAAATAAAAAGAATGCTAACTTAGTTTAGATAATTTGGGAATACTTTATGAATAAATGAAGGATATTTTATTATTTTTCAAATTAATTTTTTCAGTTAAAGAATATTATATTCCACAAGAAAACTTTTCAGGGAGGAAAAGCTTGGAGATAAATAATTAAATCAATAAATTTCATTTAATTATTTAACTTTTTGGGGTTTTCCTCACAAGTATATTATAGAATACATTGCTTCAATACAAAAAGACAGACAAAGTGTTTTATAGTCGAGGTTAAGGTTATATAGGCCTATCTCAATCACTTATAATTTATGGAATATGGAATTTTATAAATGTTATAATCTGTGGAATTTTTTTACTCGAATTCGCAACTGTCCTATTTGCCTCCCTCTGAGGACCCACATCCTATCTTCTATCATAACAGATTATCCAGTCGAAAATATGTTAAACATTAAAGTTTTAATAATTGGATAAAACCTTATCCAATTATTTTAATTATTAAACATAAAAAAGCTATGCTATAATTTATAATAGTGTAAGTCTTAAAAATAGAAGTAGGAATTCATAAAAAANAACTTTCTTATTAAAATAATTAGTCATTATGATCAGTTTATATTCTAATTAAATTTTAATTAATATTTAAAATGTAATTTTTTATTTATTTTCAATAGATAATGCGTACGATGTTTGTACTTCACCCGGAGCAAAAGCAGAATATAAGTTAGGAGATTATGGAGACAATACTGCAGTAAAGTTGGAAGCGAGTAAATCGTCGAAGAAAAAGGAATTGTATAGTTGTAACATAAGTTTTAATACTTCCACTCCACAGCAGAAACTTGCAGTTGCCATTAGAAAAGTAAAGTTTCCTGGAAGATGTGACAACTATTTCGTAAACGTAAGCTTTACACTTATTATTTTTAATTGGATTATTTTTCTAAATTAAACGAAATTGATAAATACATTTAAATATCTTCAAACTTTTAAGAATTTATAGATTCTTAAAATTTGAAATTAGTAGATTACATTTTTATGATAATCTTGATAAAATGGTAATTTTCTTACTTTTTCATGGTTAAGAATAATGTATAAATCAATGTAATATTTATAAATACATTTATTCCATTGTAATAACATTATTGTGTGCAATTATTTTTTAACCATCTCACTGGAAAGTTCTGAAAATCTAATAAAACAATTTTGTTTCCGTACTAGATCCATTTATTCTTTTATCTAATTGTGATTTTAAAATATGCGTCTTATAATTGAATACAATTGGTCGATTTAATGCATATAAGATAATTTAAATTGCCTATGTAAATAAAGGAATAATAATTAATGTAATTTACTTTTAGGTTTATGACGTAGGAAAGTTTGTTATAGGAAAGTTATGTAATAGCGTAAATGATAACGATGAACGTCAAACTATGTTTACGAAGGGTCCATCAATTCGTTTCGAATTTTCAGAGTTTAAATCTTCTGATGTAAAACTGGAACTTATTATAACGTCTTATTCGGGTAAGTTTTATTGCATATTAATATTCATTTAAATAATTTATAAAAATGATTAAATTTTATTCATAGTAATCAAAATTTATCTTACATACAGTGGCGTAACTAGTAATTACGCCACTGCTTCAGCAAAATATAATAAAGGGTCCTCCAAGCTTATGGCCCAGCCCCTCTACTAGAGTAATCCTTTTTTTTAAGTTTTGGAAAGTTGGACGGAAAACGTTTTGAATCTGTTCCATAATAATAATTTTGGTAAAATTTGGTTAATTTTGAATAAGATTTAAGAGTTACTACCAAGATCTTAAAAATCATAGTATGTTATCGATACAATGCTAAGTATACGACCACTTACTGTTGAAATAGAAAGTACAGCAGTAGAGCACGATGCTTTTACCTCATGTTCTATAACAGTCCATATCAGGTCTTCTAGAACAATCTAGAACCTTCCAGAGTGTTCTAGATCTTTCCGGAACATTATTAAATCTTCCAGAAAGTTCTTCAGGAAACTTCTGGAACATTGTAAACCTTTCAGAAAAATTTACTGAAACATTTTGAAGTTTCAGTTTTAAGTTTGTTTTCAAATGCCGCGCTTTTAAATGACATGCAGTTTTGAGGAATTTCCAACAGTACAAGACTGCAAACTCCACAATTGCCAACGCTGCTTTAAAGAAGTTTTCTGGTTTTGTGCCTCAGTGAAGAGTTGGTTGCCTTTCATTTATTTGATAAAAGGTTACCAATAGATACAAAAACCAAAATGATTCGAGCTCTGCAAAATGAAGATAACGAGAACATCCCAAAGCGAGTGACGGTCGATTAGGATGGCATCTTGGACAAAAAGTTGGATTATTTTGTGCCACTCAACAGTGAGATTTTTCGATATACTCGAACTTGACTTGAAATTCACAGAATTGAATCTCGAACTCTGACCTCCTGATGTGAATTACATTACCACGAAAAAGTGCATCAGATCCATCAATTACATTAACACTACGGTAGAACATGGAATTGCCCTGATTGAGGTTTACAATCGATTGGACACTCAGGATGAACAACAAAACCAATTTCTTCTGAAGTTTGTCAGTGATGCTCGGAAGAGATATACAGACTTTAGGAACAAAACGTTTGCCATAACAATTAATATTTCACTGTGTGAGAATTGTTATATTCATCTTTCGATGTTCTAACATGGAAATTACCAAATTGTAAGCAAATTTAATATAGAACAAATAGGGAGAAAACATATCAAAAGGAATCTAGAAAAATAAAAATTATTAGTTGTAAGAAAAAGTAACAAATATAAAAATAATTACAAATCATAAAAATAATCGCAGCAATCGCATAAGATTTATAGCCAGTATTTTGGTTAAATAATTAGATTAATGAATAAAAAATACAAAATTGTCCTATTTCCAACAAATTAAAATTTTAATATATTAGTTTGTTAGATAAACCTCGTATAAGTGATGCCATTGGACAACATATTCTTTCTCGTCATATTATCGGCTAACTACATTCATTGTTTTTTAAACGGCAAAATTTTGAAACGGTGTTATATTTATCATTTTGTACCGGTGCAAAGTGATAAATGGAACAATAAACAAATAATAATAATTCTTACAATAAAACTGTAAGAACTGTCTAAAATTACAATCTACTACGGGGGTGGTGAACCTATGGCACGCTTGTCCAAAGTGGCACATCGGAGAAATCATCTGGCACCTAACGTATCATACGATTTCGGTTTATCATCTGTCTTTTTCAATCATCCTTTCAATCATTCAATCAAGAATTTCATTTAATGTTTGTCTTTTCTTTATTACTCAACTTGTATCGATTTACAGGTTATTTTAAAGTTATGTTGAGATAGTTAGCTGTTGGGTTAAGTAGCATCAGCAGTCCAGCAAAATCACTTATCCCAATGATACTGGATTAATGCTGATCAACCAGTAATAGTTTTCTTATGTTATTAAAAACATTATCATATATTGTTCCGTAGAAACAGTGTCCAGGGCCTGGTCTTGGTCACCCGTGTCACGGACCCTTAAGCGTTGCTTAACCGAGCTGAATAATAATTACGCACTGCCTACAAGACGATTTCTCTTATTAAGTTATAAAAAAGTATTAATTATTAGGTCTTAAATCTTACATAATTAGATATATTAATTAAAAAACTTGCCCACCAACCATTGGTTGAGGAGAGAGAGAGAGAAGGGGGGAAAAAGAATTAAAAAACGACAAATTATGGCCCATTACATATAAATTATTTTACTATTAATATATAAAAGCCATATATTAAAAAAATTACTATTGGTTAAAAAAATTCTCAACGTTACTCTGATATGACTCGTGTAAAATTGTTTATTATTTCTTATGATAAGACCTGCATAATTTTGTATAAGTTATAGTCTTTGTTTATTATCTTTAGTTAGAAGGAAAGAAAATAAAATACTAATTAAATGTTTTTTATTTGTTAAAATTGATTTTTTTATTGCTATCTACTAAATATGATTTCTCATTCTCACAGATATAAATTTTCATAATATTTATATACAGTACTATGTAGGCCTATATACATAAACCAATAGATAAAATGTGAATTGAGCTTTAAGATAGTTATCCCCACTATTTAATAGTTTGAACATTCTAAAGAGTGCGTATATCTACAGAAAACTGTAGTCTATGCGGCCATCACATACTTCTTTATAGATTACTTCTAACTTGTAAGACATTTTACGACTATGACGTCATGTCTCACGCGAATATTTCGTCACCGATTGTATGGCCCGTGATACAGATAGGATAGTCATAAGATTATCTTACACCGTATCACTTAAGAAATAATTAAACTATTTGGTTATTTAATGAATCAAATATTTTAAAACAATTAAAGATTGATTTATAAAATATGTGTTGAAATTGATAATTTTGATGTAATATTTTAAAATACAATATCGAATGATTCATAGTTCTATGAATTTTAGTTTTCCTTACTTAAATCATTAAAATTATCACATTCACACCCTTAAATTCGCAGATATATTTATTAATTTAGAGATTTATAAGGGTTTTATCTGATAATTAATGCATTATGTTCAAGTATTTCGATTTTTTTTTTAAATTAAAATAATAGCCTACTATCTCTACATTAGTCTACAAACCTTTCAAGAATTAAAAGTGAAAAAATAACTGTCGGGAATAGCATATTAATATTCTCGAGGGTCATTTTTTCCAACTTATTAAGTAGCTATACTTCCGTAACACATTCAACCTGCTGACTGATTAATTAATTTTTTTGTTAATTTTACTTCTCTTTTAACAAACTCTCGAATTTTTCTTAAAAGGATTTTGTTCCTATTTTGTTAGCTAATAAAATTAATATCGAAATTAATTTTATTAAGTAAATATTAAATTATTAATGGCCATTTATGCCATAATTATGCAAAAACCGCTAATGATCCCATGTATATTCTGCCAGACTATCAACTGATACATACTTTTTTTTAATAGATTTATATATTTATTAAAATATATTTAAAATATATAATAGAAATATATATTAATATTAATTATTACTTAAATTTGATTCTATTAAATACGAAAATGTACAGTACACCTAGCTGTTATTACCTGTCACTGCAACTTCACTTGTAATTCCTTGTAATAAACTAGTGAAAGGAAATTACCTTTCACTAGTTTATTATTAGAAATGAAAAATAAAATTATCTTCACCTTCTTCTCAAATTAAGTAGCTTTTTTTTCATTCTATTTGTTTGTAATACCATTTGTTACATAGTTACACTTATACATAATACTAGGCCTATACAGTAGGCTATTAGTGTAATCCTATATATTGATTTACATTAATATTTTTATTACTTTTACTTTCATATTAAAATAGTTTGATTTTAATTAGTTCATTTGTATAAATCTGTTTTAATTATAGATTATTCTACATCAAATTTAAATTTTAAATGCGACAATGGACACTATATTTCTAATTCGTTAACCTGCGATGGCCATAACAATTGTGGAGATCGAAGTGACGAATCGAGCAAGGGTTCGTCCAAATGCGGTAAATATTAATAATACGAAAATAATAGTTGATAAATTTTAAAATTTTTAACAAACATAATTTTCCTGTCTTGCAGTATTTACTCCTGGAGTTATATCGGGCATAGTTATTGGATGTTTGTTATTAATCGCTCTAATTGCGGGTACAATATGGTGTTGCAGCAGAAAAACTGTGGTGAGAACGTACGTCAGTCGAGGTTATAACTATTAGATTATATACAATATTTCTAAAAGATTCATCTTTATTTCTAAATAATTTAAACACATTATTGAAAATAAATCCAAAATTATATTACTGTATAATATATATATGTACTAAGCAGTACTCGTATCAATAGCGTTTTCTCGATTCACTGATTCATAGATCTGTATTTGATGTAAAGACAAAGATTTGTATAAAAAAGATTTGATATGTAAAAAACAGAAATTTTTGTATTTCTCGACGTTTCAAAAGTCCAAAAATGTAAAAATCTTGGAGGTCATTTTTTGACCGATCGTCATACTTTTTATTTACAGTATTTAACAGATCCGGAAAAGTAATAACAATGAGTATAATCTTAAAAATATCCCAAAACGAAGCAATAAAAGGACNTCAGCATAGAACTTTTTGTATTAGTGTAATATATAGGACTATATTCAATAGTTTCATTTTAAATAAAAAGAATGCTAACTTAGTTTAGATAATTTGGGAATACTTTATGAATAAATGAAGGATATTTTATTATTTTTCAAATTAATTTTTTCAGTTAAAGAATATTATATTCCACAAGAAAACTTTTCAGGGAGGAAAAGCTTGGAGATAAATAATTAAATCAATAAATTTCATTTAATTATTTAACTTTTTGGGGTTTTCCTCACAAGTATATTATAGAATACATTGCTTCAATACAAAAAGACAGACAAAGTGTTTTATAGTCGAGGTTAAGGTTATATAGGCCTATCTCAATCACTTATAATTTATGGAATATGGAATTTTATAAATGTTATAATCTGTGGAATTTTTTTACTCGAATTCGCAACTGTCCTATTTGCCTCCCTCTGAGGACCCACATCCTATCTTCTATCATAACAGATTATCCAGTCGAAAATATGTTAAACATTAAAGTTTTAATAATTGGATAAAACCTTATCCAATTATTTTAATTATTAAACATAAAAAAGCTATGCTATAATTTATAATAGTGTAAGTCTTAAAAATAGAAGTAGGAATTCATAAAAAATTCGAGAAAAAAATATATTATAAAATTCCAAATTAAAATTTTTGCAAGAAGAAAAAAAGGAAATGCCTTACTTGTGGAATAATAGTCAGCTTTGAGCGGAGATCGTGAAGTCCAATGCCGCTTATATCTATTCCATCGATGACAATCGCTCCTCCCGATGCTTCTATTATACGGAACAAGGCCAGCGTCAGAGAGGATTTGCCTGCACCAGTTCTTCCCACAACACCTACCTGAACGACCCCAAAAGCAATTCGACAAGTTAATCGATGGCATTTCACTTACAATTTTAACAAAGGTCCTACCTTTTCTTGCGGTTCGATATTTAGATTAATCCTCTTTAAAACCAGATCGAGACCCTTCCGATATCTTGTACTATAATTGAGAAACGATATTTTTCCGGTAGGCGGCCATATTTTATCCGGTTTATTGCTTGGTAAATACCATGGTGCCTGTTGTATAAAAATAATGATCTAAGAAATAAATCAAACTACTTAAAACGAGTTCTGTTACTTAAATTATCTACTTATAACGTTTATAGTTTTCACCTATTGTACAGGTTTCATATTTTATAGTTCTTATGACGAGGAAGTGTTTGATAATATATTTTATATCATAAAATATTTCGCGGGTCTTATGGTGAAAAGATATTTTAAGGAATAAAAGTTTAATCTTTTTTCCGCATTAATATTAAAATATGAAGTTTGGAGAGATCGTAAATTGGAATTTACTGAATTCGATGTCGTAAGCGCTGTAATATATGTCGACGATAACTAGAGAAATATTGGGCTTTTTCTTACTAAAATAAATAATTTATACCTCGGATTCGAGTTGCGAATATTCGTCGATTCTCTCCACAGAAACAATTTTCGTTTCTAGTTCTGCGCTCATTCTCACCAGCCAGGTAAACGACTCGGTCACCTGAAAATAGTTTTACAAAAGGATTGTGATAAACTGAGAAATAAATTTAAAATAATAAAATTATTTAACTTAAAATTAACTAATAATTCGGTTCCATGCAAGAAATAGTAAGAACTGCTTAACAATTAAGTCATTTTTATAGGTAGGAGACTATAGGTCTATATTATTTTAATAGGCGAATTAATAACAAAGATTTGCTTAGCAAAAGTATGAATCATACTTGTTGAATTATTTTATAATTTCTAAAAAATTATCAATATGTCCAACAGCTTCTTGAATAAAAGAAGAGACTCGTGTTCACTAAAATAAACTTTGTAGATCAAAATTCAGGAAGATTTTTAAAAATTTAACTCACTTTACGAGACTGGAGATTTACAAAAGGAGTTACTTTTTTTTACAGTTTTTACAGTCATTTTTTCACCCAAGCATAAGTGAACCGCGACAGCTGTTTGTATCCTAATCGTTGTGACTCAGAATCGATTGTGTCCGCACATAAATTAACAAAAATTGATGCACAGACCAATATAATTTCTAAAAATACAGTACTCAACTTCATTTATATAAGGTAATAAAAAATTAAAATCGACTAACATCTCTATTAATTACGTATCTAAAATAATAAAACAATACTACGTATATTCTAAAATTTAAATAAGCAACGAACAATAGAATTAGGGCTTAATTATAGTTATTTATAAAATAAATGGGTTAAGTCGTGATTATTTTAATATATATAACACACCCCTAAAGCGTAAGATAAATTCAATCCGACGATTCCAGAATCCATGTTATCTCTGGCCCACACGACTAATAGGGCCGTTGCCAAAAGAATAAAGCTGCCGAGAAACTCTAGTCGGATGCCAAGCCACCTATGGCAAATGGAAACAATTTACTACATTATTAATGAATTAGATTAAAAACTGATAAGCGGGTGTAATTATTAGTTAATTCGATACCTATTTACAGCCAACGAATGGAAATAACAAGTTTGGTTAACGTCGACCCTTTCGTCTGCTCTGTTTGTAAAGTGTTTTTGCACCCTGTAGGCACGGATGCTGCTCACTCCGTTAATTGTTTCAGAGAAGTTGTTGTAGATGGGTGACCTAGTGACCGACTCCATTCGTTTCAATTGGCGAGACGTGGCCAAATACATCATCTAAACAAAAAAAAAGGAATATATTACTTCTTTAATTTTCATACTGCCTATGTTTATAATTGAATAATTCAATTTCTAATCAGTTTTTTGTGTGAAAAACTCATATTTCATAGTACTTGATTGCCTCTTCTCTCTTTTGTTCTTTGGAATTAAGTAAAAAGTTTGGAGTTAAGCACTCTTTTGTTCTTAATTCCAAAGAAACATACTTCATAATAAATTCAATGTCAGAGTAAAAAAATGTTTATTGGATCAGCTAATTTAAAATGCATTATTGATAGGCTATAACAAAAAAGAATCTCTTCTTCGTGATGCCATATACTTTTATTCTATACGAAATAATTTTATGGTTTGTTACCCACCTGCAGAAAATAATAAAAGATGATAATGGGTATAACGGCGACCACAAACAATGGGCTATTGATAGAAATAATAATCAAAGTTCCCAGTACTGACAAGAAGCAGTAAATCCACGAATCGAAGCAGAGAGGAATCTGCGTATCTACAACGTCTATATCCTTTCCAAACCTTTAAAAAAGCATTGAAAGAGGTAATAAAAACATCAAAATTGGCAAATGCATTAGATGTAAGATATCTGAAATAGTTTACTGAAGTTTTAACGAATAATTTAGAATATATCCAAACCTGTTCAGGATCCTTCCCAACGGTGTCGTGTCAAAGAAGTACATCGGCGCTCTCATGACGTAATCCAACATGCGGCGATGTAATATTCCGGATGCTCTCATGGTTCCAGCTGCCAGTAACATGGCGCCTACTAGCATGGCAATACCTGAAAAATATCGAATTATTTTTAAATATTCTCTTTAAAATTACATAATTTATTTAACCATAAAAATTAAGAACTTACCTTCGACTACACCAAAAACTGCATAAATTATAATTCGTTTGTTTCGAAGCGGTACGTTCTGAAGTCCGTTTGGAAGCGGTTCGTCTTCGCTCCATACGCTTAGCCATAAATTAGAACCTATCTGGAAACAAATTTTCAAATTGACAAATTGTGGGAGTTCATTTCAAATCTGAATAATCGATTTTACTCACTTCAAAGCCTTGATACAAGATATAGGATACAACGATTGGTATTGTAAACTGTAATCCAATGTGTTTTAAATATTTTAAGTAGATGGCCATCTTTACCTATAAATATTCGAATGGAAATAAATGTAAATTAAGTGTATAATTAATCGAATTAAATAAGCAAAATTACAGCATTTCAATTTTTAATTTTATTTTCATAACAAACCAATCAACTAACTTGCTAAATCTTCATTTGCATGTTCTTAATTACGAAATTAAATTATTAATTGAACGTTAGAGACTTGATTATCGAGTAAAATAAATTAAAGTGAATGTAAACAATAAAAATATTTTAAATAAAAGATTCTCTGAGATTTAAAATTGTTATAAATGTCAAATAAAATAGCCATTTATGAAACTCAAAGCATAGAACATTAGAAATCTAATAACATTTTATGATATTAATCATATTATAAATTATATTAAATTCACATCATTATATCTCGGGTAAATAAAACTATGGTACTGTACATAATGGATCATTGGATTTCAGGTAGAGAAATGATGATACGTGTTAGCTTTTTAATATTTTTCGTCTTCAATATCCAAGAAAACGCTAAAATCTAAAGTTCGTTTAGAACCTTTAATCCTTTAATTATATAAAAGTTTAAGACTTTAAGACTTGCATTTCCGATCTCCATTTTCTCTTCTTCAATTAACTGTCCAGAAATTGGATTAACAACAGTCAATTCTTTGGATTCTGATCTTTGACTCAGAGTTGAAAATTGACGACTAACGCTTCTTTCTAGAGAAGTTCTTCGGGAAATGGGAATCTTAGGATCTTCTGTTTCTTCGCTGAAAGCATTTAATAATTAAATTATTTCGTGAGTTTGAAACAATTTTAAAAATATTTTCGATTTAAAGCAATATAAAAGATTCAAACTTTTCTTTATCTGTGACTACGTTTTCAGTTCGTAAATGTTCCTGCAGAAATTCTGCAAACGATCCTCCTTTCTCTAAAAGTTCTTTATATGTTCCCATTTCTTGTATTTTTCCATCTTTCAACACTACAATCATATCAACTTCCGGTAAAACAGAAACCGCGTGGGTGACTAAAACTCTGGTCTAATGATAAAAAATTAATTGCTCCCAGTCAAAAACTGAAATCATTTTGAAGTGATTACAAAATAAAAAAATATATTAACTTCAACAAAGATTTACTCATTTATTTTAAAGCAAAAAATAAAGACTAATTACAAAATTTTAAAATATAATTAAGGATTTTTATAATAACTGTATTTAACTTAATTATTCTAAATCTTGTGTACAGTACCTTGGATTTAAGCATTCCTTTGGGGCCAATCACGTGCTGAAAGATGTGTTTTCCCACATGAGAATCGACGGCACTCAAAGGATCGTCCAATAGATAGATATCTGCATTCTGATACACGGCTCTGGCCAAACTAACACGTTGCTTCTGCCCTCCACTTAGATTGACACCCTACAAACGAACAGAAAGCTTTGTTCAGAATCTGTTTAATTACATTAATATCGGTTAAATTTCTGCTCAAAGATTACTTATAAAATTAATGATAGGCTTTGATTCATTATAAAATGAATTTAAAATACAAATAAGACCAATCTTATTCAAATAATTGATACAAAAGTAAATATACGAGAATAATACTTTTGTTGTATATAAAGGATCATTTGTAGTAATATAATTTACATAAACGTTAAACGTAAATTTGAATAATAATTTGCAGTCCAAAAATTGGTCTACTTCTATACCCAAGTTTCATTCTCGTCACTCAAAAAATTTAAATCGCGAATCTATACATTTTATAATTATGCATGCTTAAGATTTAATTGAATAATTTTTAAACTACATTTATAGGGAGGAATACATATAAAGGATGCTATTGTCGCGTAAGTATATTAGTCGATATTACATCATTCATTTATTAATCATAACTTTAAAATAATTTTAAAGATTTAACTTCATTTAAGTCCTATTTGATGTAGTCGAAGTATTTCTTACAGAAGTAGAATTACCTTTTCTCCAATTTCTATTTGATCACCTCCGGATAAAATTTCTAAATCGGGTCTTAGAGAACAGTTATCCAATATTTTTTCATAACGAGCAGAATCATATCTTGTCATAAAAAGAATATTTTGTTGCAAAGTGGAGTTTTGAATCCAAGCCTGTTGAGGCACGTAAGCAGTTTCGCCCTGTAAAAATATTTAAAACGTCTTATCAAATTTATTTTCTGTAGGTTAATTAATATCTAACACTTGTAAGTTAAATTTCTTTAAAATTTAATCATATGATATGTAACTTTAAGCAATTTAAAAATTTCATGATTATTGAGATTAATGGTTACACATTGAACCGAATTAATAAATATATAAATAACGTTTATTCAAAATAAAAATCATTTTAATATATACATTATTATACTTATAGTATTACTATACATTACTATATAATTTACTATGTATATTTTAATATATACGTAGACAACAAAACAAAAGAAGAAAATTATAACTTATAATATAATATAACAAACTTATAAATATATTTAACTGCTGAATATATTTTATTAAGGAATAAAATTAGATATAAATAAATTTCAATGATAGAAGAAAATTAAATGTCTTCTACGTTGCATTCAAAATAATAACGATAATTGAAGAAATATATAAAACTATAGATTTATTATACGCAATTTTTTATTATAAGAAACAATGGAATAATTTTGTCTACTGTATTATATTCCAAATTTTTAAATTGGCGACTGTTTGTAAAATTTTATTAATATTAATTTAAAATAATTAATTAATTTCTAAATATTTTAAATATTTACAAATAATTACTATTGTTAAAAGAAATCCAATTAAAAGGTATAGAAAATATGTTGACTTATATAAATTAACAAACAATTATCGGTTATATTGTTTAAATTTGCTGATGCCTCCCCTTCACTAATCAATTAATCATCCGTAGGGAATATATTATCTAAATAATTTTTATCTCATAAAGTAAGATTTCTACTAATATATAAGTATCAATCGACAGAAAAGTTCATTATCTATTAGTAATAAAGTTTTTCAGCTTGAAGACAATGAATCTAAAACATAATATTTAAAAATTAAAGTTTCTGGGGTAAACAAAAAAAATGTCGAAAAGATATATATTTCATAAGAAATTCAAATAAAAAGAAGATATTTTAATCGTTTTTGTATCCTAGATAAATATATTGACCTTTATAACCATTGAACCTATTTATAATCTTTGAAAAAAGTAATTCTTTTGTACTTAACACAAATAATGCTATATAAATTATCAGTTTCTGTTAAAATTCGATTGCAAATTTTTTACTATTGAATATTCATCATAATATTAAAATTTAAATTTAAAAAATGTATAATAGTATACTGTAAGAATATAATAAATGTGAATTACGATAACTTACCACTACATCTACCTTTCCTTTGGTGTTATACATTTCGCCTAATATTGCAGAAAGTAGAGAAGACTTTCCAGATCCCACCTGTCCTACCACAGCTAGTAACTGACCCGTTTTGACCTTAAGATTGATATCTTTTAACACCGGTTGTTCATCCTTCGACCACGTAAAATTGGCTTCTCTCACCGTAATTGCATCGTCTGCAACAGCATACTTACGCATAAATATTTAAAAAGTTAAATGCAATTTATAAAAATACTTGCCTAAATCCGGATATTTTCCAACACAGTCGGGATCGAGTTCTTCGGAAATCAAAAATTCATTTAACCTTCTCAAAGACACGCGTGTCTATGAAGAATTTTCCAGTATAAAATTATTCATCAAAGTAATATCAATTTAAAAGTATAAAATTATTATACCTGAATTAAATTTGATATTAAATCCGGTATCATGACTAGAGAAAACCGTAACATGTTGAAAAGCGTAAGCGACACGAATGCAGTTGCAGGGTCTAAAATGTTTTTATCGTCTACCATAACGAATGTCACAAAACTGGAGACTGCAATCTAAACACAGACGGAAAAATAATTTATTTTTAATAAATATTAATTTAAAATGTAATAGGTCTATTTACATTTTGTCATTAGACTATCAGAATAAATCATATAAAGCAATGTTTCTTAATCGAGAAAACATTTATAGATGTGCAGATGGTAACGATACGTTTTTAACCTTTAGTGCAATATAAAACTTAAAGCTATCTTATACTACATAAATTTGAATCAAGTGTACTATGTACTGTACTTTCACAGCTCACAATAAACTGGACGTCTCGCATCCTCACCCACTACCCTCTCTGTAATCTTGGATTCATTTGGATTTCATAAAAAAAAAATTCAAGGGGTGCCGATCACTAAAAAGGTCAAATTATCTATCTAACATTAATATATGAAGCAACAAATTAGTTTTCTTCAGTATCCTACATAAAATATCAAGAATAAACATCTTAACGAGGATGTTAAACGAGCTTCTTTCCATAATTGATAAAGATAGATTTCAGTAATAAAATAAACAAAATAAATCTGGATTGTAAAGTCTCGAACGAAACTTTTATTATATTTTTATTTTAAATAAAAAAGATTTTAAATCTTACGTGAAGTAACTACGAGATCAAATATTGTGCGTAGAATCTAAATAATAAATCGACCAGGTTTCAATCACGTAGCTTATTTTCTGAGGAGTCACATTAAAATGTGACACTTAACGGAAAACGTGTTAAACCATTTTAATGAACGATATTCATTGCACTCTCAAAGAAGTCAAATGCTTTAATAGATATATTTGAGTATATCTTCTTAATATTTGTACCTCGAATAATAAATGAAATTAATTATTAGTAGTTTACTACTATCGCTGATATTGTCCTCTTTTTGATTCCCCCTTTTCAAGTTATAATGGCTGTAACTTATTAAAATAATTTGTTTCTATAAAATATTTCATTCCCTCACTTCTGAATAATAAACAGAGTTATCGAATGATGTGTTTAAAGTAGGAACAAGTTTCAAAATAATAAAATAAAGCTTATAGGCGACATCTAACAACACTCGTGACTGAGTTCTGTATTAATTTGTAAAGCCAACTTGACTTATCTGTGAGCATCCTTCCTTGGATTAACCACACATTTATATATTAATGACTTAATACGGAAAAACTGTACAATCAGACAATAAAATTATCAGAAATATCATTAAAATTAATAATTTATAATATATCAGTAAATAAATATATTTTTAATCTAAATTTTGTAATTATGATTTTACAAATTTAATTATGATGAAAAATGTTATAGACAGATCCTTGTAACAGTAAGTGTGCTTCCTATTGAAGGAAGATAAGGCTTGTTTTAAACTGAAAAATTGTATAGTTTAAAATTCGTTGTCGTTCTTACCGTATGCTGAAATAAAGTATGTGTTAAATAGTCGCACCCAATTCCCAAAGAATAGAAATAACAGACTCCTTCTAATAAACAGCGTAATTACAAGCAGAAAACAGTGAAATTACAAAATAATTAGAATAAACAGCATGTTGTTTATTATAAAAAATACGATATAATAAACTAGCTTAGTAGAAAATTTCTTTTAGAAAAATTCTAAAATTTATTAATAATTAACTTTAACTTACCAAAAATGGCGAACATCCCCAAACGAAAGAAACGGAAGCGTTAAAATAAGAAAATTTCTTTAACAAACTAACTTCTTTATTTCTGATATCGGTTATTCGATCCATAAAAGGTTCTTCCCAGGCATACAATTTTAATACCTAAATTACAAGTGAATTTTATTAATTTAATTTGTAACAAGTGACTAAAATATAATCCATATACGGAGATTAATCTGCTTTGTTTAACAAACAGGCCTCTATTTAGAGTGAAATACGAACCTTTATTCCGCTTAAAATTTCGTTCATAAATTTCAAGCGATCGTCTTTTGCAGTCATTTGTTTTTCCTAAAATTTGAATAAATTATTAAAAACAATTATAATAAAACCAGTATATAAAATAGGAATCCATATATGGCCTTGTATATTGAAATATTCAAATTTAAATGAAAATATTCATATACACCGTACATCATAAATTAATTTTTTTTCGTACAAAAAATAAGTTTCGATTTTCATATATCCTTTTTCGTAATTCCACTAAATTCAGTATTTCTAATTACTTTTACGATAAGTCAGAAATCTTTATGAAGTGATCTGTAGGTCTATACAAGCTAAGTACAACGTAACAGTACGTTTTTACCCATCGTCTACTGTATCTGGATGGGAGTAAGACACGCGAATGAACGGTTCATGAGTAATTTCTTTAACAGTTTATTTTCTTTACTTTCATCATTAATTTTACAAATATTTTGTCTAGAAGATTTTGTCATAATTTAACTTAATTATTTTACATTCTAATGGCGATAGAATAGCATTTGTGTTACTTTAAATGTCACGTATATTCGAGAATACAAATAGGCCTACTTTGTAAATAATATTTATATTTTCAGAGACTTGGAAAAGGTTTCATCAATAAATAACGTAAATGCGCGTGATGAATTAACGTAAATATTTTTTAAAAAGTAGAAACATTAATAGTTTGCAAAGCATGAAAAATAATAAAACCTAAGAATGAAATGAAATAAAGTGAATAATTTATGATTGAAAACGTTTCACGCCCACTAACGTCGTTTTTTCAGAATATTACTTAAGAAATTCTCTTTAAAACATTCAAGCATGTCCTTTCGCTATAATTTCGTGCATGAAACGAAGAGACAAAGCGGCCAACTCATCATTGTACGCTTCAAACACACCACTCCTCCTTACCTCATTATAGAAGTAACAGTAGATGTCCTAATAAAAATGCTAATATCGCTTAATTATTATATAGTCTGTCTCGGAGACAATTGATAACAAAGAGTACTTTTTCTATCAATTGTCTCCGGAAAGCTTTTGAATACTGGTTCTTACGGAAGCATGCACGAAAGTTATAGCGAAGGGACTACATGAATATTAATTTTTTTCATATGGACTTGGAAATGTCGCTTGTATTTGATACTTAATGAATAAAATTGCAAATAATTTCAGGTCTGTTTATAAAACGTTTCTAAATTATAGTATTTCACGGGATAAGAATGGAGCCGATGTGCTCCATTCTTATCCTGTGAAATACTATAATTACAAATCGAAAATCGTATTAATGAATGGAAAACGGTTTTAGCATTAAACTGCTATAATTGAATACAGTATGTTTTGAATATTAAGTTAAAAGTATTCCGAAAAACGATCATAGAAATAATTCCTATAAAGTCGGACCGATTACATCTAATAAGATTAGAAACAGAAGATTAGAAACAGAAAGATTAGAAACAGAAAAATATTTCTTTGATTTTTCAATGATCACACGATTTCTCAATCATTTTTAAATGAATGTCGCTTTTTTTTTTAGATTACACTTTTTATTTGGAATATCCTTTCAAACGTGTCCCTTATATTTTTATAGGCATCTTTACCTGTCTAAAGTGCCGTTTTTTACAACAAATCCTTAAAATTTCTGCAAATGCAACGTTATAATCCTCCTTTTTATTATTGAATTGTCACGTTGTTCTTTTGTTAGATAAAATTAAATAGGTAACTGATATAAAGTTCCTAAAGTAGCGTTATCAGATATTATTTCATTCTCTTTTCTGTGATTTTTGTTCTTTTTATAAATTACAAAATACTATTCAAAACACGTATATCTTATAATGCAGAAGCCCTAATACAGAGTTTAAGCTCCTCCTTTAACTCAGTTTCGTGTAACGCCCAATTATCAAATTGTTTGAAGAAACTATTTTTTAAGCAGACGAGTGGCTTGATGAATGATGCGTATTAGAGGAGTGGAATTTTTTATGCATATTCAAGTACAGTGGTACCTCAGGTTACGAACGTTCCAGCATACGAAATTTTCAGGATACGACATGAAATTCGAACATATTTTTGCTCCACGATACGAACAAAAACTCACCATACGACGTTACATTAGTTCTCATTTTTCATTTGTTTTTCTTACTACAGTTATTTTTTTAATAGATTACTTGGGCTTTAATTTTTGAGTATGTTTTTCGCGTTGGAACGAATTATTTGGTTTTACATATAATCGTATGGGAAAAGATGATCCACCTTAAGACATTTTCATGATACGATCTCAGTTTCGGAACGGATTAATTTCGTATCCTGAGGTACCACTGTAATTAATTCGATGAATTCGGTTGACTTTCGGACACTATCGGATACGGCTCTAATACTCAATGACTTAATTTTCTATCGAATCATTTAATTTTGTTAATGAATAATTCTGGAAACGATTCTTTTGCCTGAATTATCTTAATGTTTTCAATATATTCTTGAAATATTTAATAATTAATACAGAATTCTATGTTCTAAATACGAGGCATGATAAGAAAGAGAACCGATATTAATGTAATAGGATTGATAAATTCAATCCTGTCAGATTAATATTGATAATAAATTTTTATTAGAGAGACATTCATTATGAATGAGGATCTAATAAATCGAAAGGAACTTGACGTTGCCATAGGAAAGATCCCATAACTTATTTTGATTGTTAAAAAGCATGAATGTGAAAGGATATTGGACAGTTATAAAGAAAAGAAAGGTCATACGTTTAGAAAAACAATTTAAATTAGTAGCAGATTAAAATCTAAAAATATTTTTGATCCTTTATCTAGAAATAATTAATAAATACATGATAGTCGTCAACAATTTTTATGCAGATCTGTGTCGTCGTTAGTGAATATTTTCCATTTCCACAGTTTATTGAATTTGTGTTCCAATTTGTGTTCCAATAAATGTCTAAAGAAGATCGTTGTCCTCTACTTTTTGTGTGCTCCTTCTACTTGATGTAACAATTCTCTAAATAAGGCAAGGTAATCGTAAACATTTTTTACATCAGGCCTACTTTAAAAAAGTGATTTTTAAATTGTTTTAAATTTGTTTAGAATATCATCATTAATCCTACGTTCCAACAAGATTTACTGATAGATCAAAGAAAGTGAAACATAAAATATAATTATAAGTTAGTATATTTGTAAAAATATTTCACATTTATACAAATAAATAAAAACTTTATTTTCATTACTCGGCCTTATATGAATCCCTACCTCTATGAAAAAATCCATACCTGAACGATCCGATTTTTATTCGCTATAATGGCAGTGATAGGCAGCATTAATCCCATTACCGCTACACCCGCCAGGCACGAAGGGCCGAGGTACTGCCACAGGAACACAATGGTGAGAAACACACGCAAAGGTGCACCCCAGATAAGGCTGAAGAACATGGACAGTTGGAAGAGTCGTTCTGCATCGACGGCCATCAAATTAACTAGCTCTCCGACAGTATATTTTCGTCTAGTCGAGCTGGATATTCTCAATGACTGCATAACGACAGTTAAAGATCGGAATACATCATTTAGTTATTAAGTGATGGCATTATTCTATATTACGTTAAATATTTCAAAGAAAAAATTATAATTATCACATCTCTTAATACTTTAAGATAAGCTCGCATGTTTGTGGCAATAATTAACGTTTTACATATCTCGTAATCGTTAATTAAACTCAATTAGAATTTCATATGTATGTTAGACAGTTGCTAAGCTGTTTATCGAGTATCCAGGCACGAAATCGTTTATAAAGGGATAGTTCCTCCCAGAGATATACATCATCATCTCACGTGACATAAGTATTTCGTGCAGGGACGTAATATGCCTTAATGCACGAGAGAGATAGGGGTCTAATAGCAATTTGCCATCGAGATACGTTAGACACGAGAAGGTTACCGAAATTCGTTAGTCATATAATTATTCTTGAATCAATGACAATAGGAATGAAGTTCAATCTGTGTGTGTGTGTGTTTTTTTTTACGATTAATACCCATTCATTAAAAATCTTAATTTAATTATAACTTTTAATCTTATTATTATTGAAAATAAAGGCTAACTTTTCTATAAACGGCAGAGATTAATGCTGATTTAACTTGAATAGCGGTGGCAACCATGTAATATACTAAATGATTGATAGTGAAGTTAGAAAGTAAACTCGAAACAAATAAAAGAAACGTGTAAAAGTATCCTTTCCATGTCGGGTCATCATTGACAACAAAATCAATCATATTGCTGTAAAGAAACAAATGTCATATATTGAAAACAATTCGATAATTTATATCATGCATTCTGTTAAATTCCGTTCGTACACTTACTTGATCAATAGAGGAGGGATGAATCTAACAATGGAATATAGAAATTCTAAAATTGTTCCTAAAAATAAAGCGAACCAAAATCCTCGAAATAATGCGCCGACGATAGAAGCTTGCTTATTATCAGATTTTGACGCTTCTTTTAATGATGATGATGATGATTTGTAGTGATTTTCTTCACTGAAAAAATTTTAAGAGATTAAATAAACTAGAAATTATATTTCTTTATTTATAAACGTCAAAATATTTTAAACAAAATAATGATATTCGGACATATATGCCTAATTACACATGTCACGTAACATTAATTAATATTTGTTTAGAATTTTTCACTTTCGTGCCATCTTAGAAATGTGTTTGATTCAAGTTATAACAAAATGGAACGGTCCAAATCCCAAGAGAACGCTAGATCACGTAATCACCATCACGTAATCACCACTCCGTACGACAAACATTTCAGACGAGAAATTAAGGACAATTTCATTTATGCAACAGTATAAATATTTTGTAAACACACGACCTTAAATTATAATTTATTAGGATATAAAATAAATTACTGATATTTTGCTATTTTTAATTTTGATTGCAGAAATTTATTAAAAAATTAAGTCTCCAACAAAGGAAACCGTTTTGCAAAATCGACAACAGAACTTATTGTGTTAGGATTAGTTAATGCTTAAATAGTACGTGATGATAAGAATATAATAAAAAGAACTTACGAAGTTATTTTTGGTGCTTCCTTTTCATGTCGCTTTCGAAATTTTCTAAAACAGTAACTAGCGGTAAAAGTCTCGTGTATTGGCGAAAGATCATTAAAGTCTATAAGATTTCGCAGTCCTGTACACAGAAGTCTTAAAAATATAATATAAATGCATTGTCATTATCATATATAAAGACATTAATCTAGTTTAATTATTTTATTAGATACAATATTGATATTTTCGTATAATTGACTACCATTAATTGTCATTAGTTTATTAAAATATTTAGAGCCTGATCAAAGAAATATATTTTACCGTAGACAGTGGCTAACTATTATTAAGCACAGTTGAACGACGCTTAATAACAGTATCGGGGGTACACATTAGACCTAGGCACTGTTTCTACGGGAAACTACGAAAGAACTTTTTAATTATATAAGAAAATTATTAATACTGTATTTTTATATTAATAGTTTTTAGCTAATCTATAATATATTCTAACAATTTAAAATTCTAAAATTTGCAGTTTATAAATGTTTAAATTCCTATACGATCATGAATGTGGAGAGCTAGTCCTAACCATAGGCCCCTAAGCCTAGAACCAAAATATGGCTCTTTGCTATTTGCTTGAGGGATTGAAATTTTTAATTGCATCATTGGCTATAGATCATCAATAGAAGAGTTCCGAAAAACTCAATTTTTTTTGAGACTGTCCAATTCTAATTTTTTTTTTTTACTAAAGATAGAAATATTATTATTATTTTCAACTATGATTTTATAATGTTTAACGTTGAAACTGTTACAAAATTATAAGATTTCATTCCATTGAATGGATAAACCTTTAACATTTTCTGGATTAGTTCCAAATAAGACTACTGTATGATTGAAATGAATTTGTTACTTTTACAATCAATTTGAAGCTAGTTAAATCATAATTCGGATAAATCTAAACCTAAGTTAATCATTTTTATCATGAAAGAAACATTTTGCCTGTTTTATTCGTTCATATTTGATGAACTTATTGCAAATTTTTGAATCAGAATGATATTAGTTCGAACATATTTGATTTAATGATGATTTCTTAATAACACACGAGTGACTCTTTATTTAAAAGCGTTTAAGTTGGTTACTCTTAATTAAATACGAAATTACGAATTAAAACTTATTAAAATAAATAATTAATTGTTTTGACATACAATATATTCATTTTAAAGCTAGTTCTAATCCGATCGGCTGATAAATATCTCTTTGTACTGTATTTATCAGGGTCGAAGAGATGTTATGTTATCAGTTGATAATATTTTGTAAGTGTTGCAACGAGCAAAAATGAATTCACTGTATAATTATATTCTACATTTTTATGTTTTCTATACTTTTTATAGCTATTGTAATTATATAAATCTAGCAACTGTTAGACAATGAATAAATGGATTGATGGAGTAAGGCAACGCGACACATGAGCGATCTTCCAAAGAGTGGTGCCTCATGGGAGAAACTCTATGAGAAATTGGTCCCTATTTAGATGTTAGACACGTAAAGAAAATCCAGAAAACTTCCGTGGAGACAGCCCGCTGTCACGTAAGAACACACTACCAACCACCTAGTGTTATTCACTGAACATTTGTAGTTGATAGTTGTTTAAGTATTGAGCTCACCAGTGTCCCAATAAACAATAAACCTAAGTTTATTGTTGATATCATCAGAAAAGTTTTAATGGTATCGAATAAATTACTAAAAGTTTAATTATTGCTCTTTACTCTGAAAGTTACTTCTCCAAAATAAACATTTACGAAAAAATTAATAGTAATAAAATTTAACTAAATCTTGAACATACTTAAAATGTTCTTATGATTTCGTATTCAATTTTTTTATACTAAATATTCCATACGACAATGAACACGTTATTGATTGAATTATACAGTACACTAAATTATATAATATATCCTAAGTTTTTATATTTTATATAAGCTATTAATTTATAATAATGTTTACAGCAAAATTTTATATTCGTGTAAAGGCTCGTCAAAAATTATTTCGAAAATATAATTAAAAGAGAAAGTAAAAGACTTACTCGGTACACCAAGAAAATAATAATCTTGAGAGGAAAGATTCTTCATCCAACGGACAAACTTTCTGTTCAAAAGTTATTAATTTTATAGATTTAATTTCAATTATTTTATAAGAAAATAAAATAGTTAACGCTACACTAATGTCAGTACGTTATTTCATAGAATTTATGAATAGATGTTAACTTAACATAGATCTATGTTTATGTATTCAGACTGTAAATACCTTATTTGTATCGTACTTGTAAGGGTAATTATCTCTGAAGCTCGATAGGAACAACTGGCACACGACTAACGGAAAATAAATCATTTCCGTTATAAAATAGAAAATATTTACAAGTTCGGAATCCTAAAAAAGAAAATATTATTTCAGAAAAAATTGATTTAAATTTCACACAAAAATCAGATTTTTTTTATTTCATTTTAAAAAGTTTTATTCATCACTTACGTAGAAAAATACCCGGAGAAGCAAAGATCTGTAAGAGAAGAAATTCGCGATGGTTAGAAGACCCCAAAACAGGAAGAGAGTGGCCGACGAACGTTTTCCCAATCGCCTATAGCTTTCTAATAATATTAATGCAAAACTCTAAAAAATAAAATTCTCATTAAAATATAATAAAATATTTAATTCCGTAAACATAAATTGTTATTACGAAATGCTCAAAGTATTTTTATAATTAATTTTTCTTTTCGAAATAAATAATTAATACAGTAAAACCTCGATTATCCGGACTAATTGGGGATGAAGGTAGTCCGGATAAGGGAAAATCCGGATAATCGAAACAAATACTTTAATTTGTCTTTTAATGATAATACAACACGTTTTCTTTTCGATAATATATCAGTAATATTAAAAGTAAATACTGTATTTAAATCGTGATCAAATTTTCAAGAAACAAACGTTCGTATTGAATTTGGACTACTACTAATCAACGCTAACAGACTACCTATTGTTTAAAAGACCTCTAGTGGCGCAAGAAGACGGATTTTATAAAATAAAAAGCAGTTGAAACTGCATTTTTATGAATAAAAATTTGACAAAGTATTTATCGTTTTATGACGAGTAAAATTTTTTCGTCGCGTTCACGGCTTTTAAGTAATGCATAAACCTTCGAGGCGCGAGGCATAGGCAGTGGCCCACGTCGTCCATGCCTTACGCCGCCCTTGGTCATAGAAATGATGTAATTTGAATATAAATTATTTATAAATACGTATGTCAAGTTATATTTTTATTACGACGCAAAATATATTTAAGAGTTTACGACCACTGTTCTGGGTGAGACGTTGTTGAAACAAAAAAAGTTATGCATTCCATCACGTACATAAACAGTGTCGTAATTCGCCAAGTGCAAATCAGCAAATTTGTAAAATTTTTGTTTATTTTGAACAATCCGGATAATCGAAAATCCGGATAATGGAAGTCCGGATAATGGAGGTTCTACTGTATCATTATATGTATAAATACACAATAAATTAAAAGAAAAAAATCAATTTAATCAGTAATCGTACATTTCTTTAGTGTTTAAAATATGAATTCCTTACATTTATTTTTTCCTTTTTATTTTTTCAATTAAACATTACTTGAAAATTCCAATAAAACTGGTTAATTATTCAAATAGATCGACTTCAATCAACCAAAACAGATAAACTTTAGAGATAATTTAACTTCTTATTAAAATAAAATAGCATATTGTTAGATTTGTTTAGAATAAATACAGGAAAACAAAATTGCAACATCTATAAGAATTTATGCGAATGCTATAAATGATTTTTTAATAGCATTCGCATAAAGAAATCATTTATAGCATTTTGAATTATTCAAGATGTCAAGATGTCAAATGCTTAAACTGTAGTGGATATTCTGGAATTTCTTCGAATATGAAGCGACTTCATAGAAACAGAGAGCATAGGAACACAGAAAGAAAAACTTCTGGATAATTTTGAATGTTAGAGATGACAGCTAGGGTCGATAAAGGCGAGCAAGTTCTCTTGAAGACTTTGTATTTAGACAATATGCAACACGCTTCTGTTATTTTCATTGCAAGCTCTTTACTAAATTACAAGTTGTATTTTTCATTGCAAGCCCATTACTGTTTGCCTCTAATATCAGATCACGTGAAAGAACATCTTCAATAGTGCTACGATATAGCCTAATATGTACAGTACAATATGTAAATTGGAATAAATATCATTGGCGTACTGCGAGGTTTGCTGACGAAACTTGACTCTGAATAAAATCATAACATAACTACCTAAAAACAACAGATTAGTCACCTTCAAAATAAAAGCAATGTTTTTTCAAACATTACAAGATACAACTCGTTATTATGGCTTGGGATAGGATTAGTCGTACAGTAAATCTGGATTCGAGTTGATTACTATAAGGGATTACAGTATTTAGATGCCCAGCGATATTTAACTGAAATTTTACATCTAGTAACTGTTCCGATTTTTCGAGAGCATGGAGTCCATTTCCTGTAGGGTAACGCACGCCCTATGTTGCCCATGAGTGCATTTAATATATTCAAGAACAAACATAAGTGTGTTGTCATGGCCAGTCTGTTCGTGTCGTCTTTCCACATATTAAACATGTTATATAATGGGCGAAGTTTGCAACAATATCCCAGTGGTACAGTATATCAATAACTGCTATACAATCATGACATAGTATCACTCAGATGGCTGTTGCAAAGCTATTCCATCATATTCAATCATATATTGCTGAGTGCGAAGATTCAAAACACATTACTATCTCCTAACTTCAGTAATGAAAATGTTAAAACTTATACACCGACGGTAACATGGTAGCCTAGTATTAATAACTAACTAGTAGGCTAAACTAAATCTTAATATCGAAAATTTATAGACAAAATTATTTCCAGCAACTTTCAAACCGTATTAAACGCGGTTTAATACGGTTGGTTATTAAACAATTTGTTTGAATGTCTGTTTTGCTACACTTTATGGATTAATGACTTACATCTTTTTATTGTATTATATAGAGATGCTGACTTTTTCATGGACGAGACACACTTGTATATTGGCCATAACCTGTAGCCAAGGTTTTAGGATGTCTCCAGAATATAAACCAATAGGAAAGGAACACTTTCAGAAACAGGAATAACATTATTTGTGTATATCTCACTGTGTTATGTACTAAAGTTAATTGTATGCCGTTTTATTGATCATTTTTTCTTATTTTCATGAAAGTTTTAAATTATTATTACCAGTAAAGCAAGAGGAACAAAATGTTATCAGAATACTCATAGTTAATTTTATCTCATATCAGTTAGACTTTTTAAACAAAAATGTGATGACTTTCTTGCTATTTTTGATAAGCATTAGGCAATTTTTGGCTACTTTTGAAGCACTTTTGACAACTTCTGATTGAGAATATATGACAACTTCATACCCTTCACAAATACAATTGGTTCATTGCCATACTTAAGTTTTTCATGTATTAGTTGTCCTTATGCACGGGACATATGCAATGAATCTTATAAATATAGTATATATAATACAATACATAATACAAAAATATTAATAGAACAGTTTTTAAACTAAACGATAAAATTAATAATCTTAATCTACTTTAGATGAAAATGAAAATCTTTGCGAGTAAATTGCTAGAAATTTAAAAATTGTCAATTTAGTCGCACATTCTGAAATCTCGTCAGTGTTTTGCCAAAAAAAAAAGTAACATCGAAGGACAGATTATAGCCATTAGTTGGCACTTTCCTCGAATTTAAAGTCAGCAGAGAAAACTCCAAAAGCTTTCTAGCACTACGAAACAAGAAAAAGCTTTTCGGAAATATTTCTCAACAATTTTTAAGAATTTCTATTAGAAGACGAATCTTGCATTAATTACAGTATTGCTACAAAACTTATTTACTTAAAAAAGTATATATTGACGACGACAGGCTAAGTATTATGTAAAACGCTTCAGATATAGCAATTTTCTGATAGCAATTTTTAAGTGAAAATTGCTATCAGATATAGCAATTTTCACTTAAAAATCTATCGAAGTTTTATTTGCTTGAACTTTCGAAATATGAAGTCAAATCTTTAACGATACTTTTTAATTCTCGAAATACGTTTTTATTTCGATTGCTTGGAGGCAATCGCGATAAAATGCAATTTATTTTACGAGATCTTCTGAAGAAGGAAAAAAAATACAACTTAAAAGATGAATAAAATCAATTATTTTCCAAAAGTTTGTTTATTATTTTTAGAACTAAAAAAGTAATTTATTAAAGACTTTTAAAATGAAAAATATTTCGAAAAATTTAAATATTATTAAGCTTAATATACTGAAAGATTGCTGAAATGAAACATTTAAAAAATTCTATTTTGAAAAAATAGCAGTATCAAATACGTAAGATACATATTAACAGTTTGATTAATCAATCCGGAAGATACTGTTTTTTTTTTTTTTATTGTCACGCAAGAAGGCACAACCTTTATGAGTTTAATTTTAATAGGATTTTAATTGTAAATTTAATAGGATTAAAAACGAGAAAAATAATTGCTGAAACTCTTGAAATGAAAGCATATCGCATTGGAATTACGGATTTCATAATTATAAATCCACTCAAGATAACTATAAAAACACAGAATAAATCCCATACTTTTTTTCAAAGTTATATTGCCATACTTATCTTCATTTTCATACAATTTCTCTTTAAATTATTAAGAAATGTAGCAAACTTCTTTCTATTTTGTTTATAAAAACTATAGAGAAAAATTGTAAGTTAGGTCTACTCTTTATTAATCTTATGTTCATGTTTATAGTCGTAATTATTATATAAGTGTAAAGCCTGAAATTGAATTGTGCCAAGTTTTAGTTGCCACTGACAGGAGTAAATGAAATGTATTTAAAAAAAATGAGAGCACGTCAGCAATCAATCATTAAATAAATTAGTCCCTAAAGAACTGTAACTTGATCTAAACTATAAATGGAAACTAATGACTAATAAAAAATAAATATTTTTGCTTACTTCTTTCGAATTGCTTGTAGGAAATAAAAATAAATACATGAATATATTTTTTAAATTACATTTAAAAATTAAATAAATGCGTATGTATTTTTGACATTTTCAAGGTTTAAATGGTAACATGAGAAAGTTTAAATTCCACGCAAAGTTATAATTATATTAAATTCTATTTAGAAAGTAACTAACTATCAATATATTATTGAGTACTGTCAATAAATTGCATTAATAACGCATAAAGAACCAATTAAACAGAGTTTTAGTTATTTTTATGAATGTAAGATAAGCCAAGATTTTCGAAAGATCTATAAATAAATATCTTATTGATTAAAGGAAACTATTATATTCAAATTATTACTGAATTATCAAATTGAATTCAATTGTAATTTGCTAACTGTGTGCCAAAGAATATCGTATTATTGAAGAATTTGTACTGGATTAATGTTATTGTTCTGATTTCTTTATTGACTACTGAGGCCCTTATTATTAAAAGAAGAGTGGATTTTGAGTTAACCGTTGTGACAAGTCTAGTAATAAGTGCCTCATTAACAAATAAAGAAATCAGTAGATACGACTAGACATAGTGTAAACAGCAATAACATTATTGTTATTATTATTAGGCTATATTATTTCCGTTGCAAGAAACCTATAGCAATTCACACACAATACAAAAGGAAAGTAGATAAAAAAAATAAAAGATTTAAAAATTTATATTAAAGCCTTTACAAGATAAAAAAAATCTTTATTTTAATACGTATTTCTAATAGTCATATTTGTTTTTCTTTTTTTATGATTTTTACATAATTTTAAATTCAAATCTCACAACCATATTTATGCATGTTTAAAATAATATATATTGTAGTTTAAATAATAAAATAATCCATAAAACTTACAAAAGTAATTATTTTAAGTAATGAAGAACAAATGAAAGCTAAATCTACTGGCTCTCCTCTCAAGTAATTCATGGTATAGTGGCATAATTTGGCTACGCTGATGAAGACTAACAAAATACAGAGAATCTGAAAAATATTAACGATTATCTTATTTGAAAACAATAAAAATATTTCAATAAAAATAGAATATGAAATAAAAAAACTTACCAATTTTACAATATTTAGGAACCCCCATGGTATAAAATATTTCGTCCTTTTTCTATTTAGGTATAATTCTATCGGTCCAAACAGCCATAAAAACGAACAAGGAACCCAAATTAATACCGTCGCTTGAAAACAAGGCGTGAAATCTGGAACATCGGCATACCACGTGACACGCAAATTCTAAGAATAATAATTCATTTTAATATGTGATAGAGGTTAATGTGCAAGTCCAAAAAAAACAATCTATTAATCTAACAGGTTTCAATCCTGTTTCTCAGACGTTACCCTTAGGCAGAACTAACGGATAAATCTGTCACTGACATGACATCACTCAATTATTCCTTCTCCGATATCTATTGTCTGTTATCAGATACAATTTAAAGATGTTTCTTATTTAATATTTATTTAAATAATTCTATTGTAAACCTGTTACAATAATTCTGTTTTAAAGTGCAAGAGCGGAGTAGATAGACATTTTTAATAACAAATCGCAAGTTACGTCCAAGTCGTAATATTTTCTAATTTTATGTTAAAATAGAGCACGGAATATCTTCAAATAGTTCATTTTACGAAATTTAATTAATTATTTATTTGTTCTTTTAATATTACAAGACTTTCATTTTCAAACGGTGATAGAAACTTTTCATTTCGTTACATTATTGAGGGATCTTTAATCAGAATAAAATGCCTGTTATAGTTAAAAAGTACTGTAATATAATATTTAAATTGAAATACTTTGCATTATAACATACTAATGGAAATTATATTTACCATCTTTTAAACTTGAACCCTTCATTTAGTAGGCCTGTATAGTCTAACATAATGTATAGTCTGTAAGTCAATCGCCTTTGTACTTTGAAATAAGTCTTGTTTTTGTTTTTGAAAAGAATTTCAAAGCAATTTAATGGCATGAATTATTATATAATAGACCTGTCGTTGATTTCATAAACTTGATTAATTGACTAAATTGCAAAACATGAAGTTTAATAGATAACTAAATGCTAGGTTATTATAACTAGCAAAATTTATCTTATCTTACAGATTGGTAACTAATTATATAGGCCTATATTTTTTTAAAGACAAATATTAAGTGATGTACCTAAAAAGCAGATGATCTTACTAGTAGAAGAAGGACAAGCATTTTACTATATACGAACATCTTTATCAAATAATATTCGTATAGAAGGTTGTTTCTTGGCTTTAACAATTATCCAGGTTCAAAAACTATCTTTTCAGCATTGCACGAGTGCATGGCTTATGGGGCATTCATTTAAAATTCATTAATTCATTCGAAAAAGGGGCACGTTTAAAAAGCATGGTTCTGTAGCAATACATAAACTTTCTCCGTCTCTTTCTAGCACAAAGATGAAAGGAATCATTTTAAGAAGATTTAGCATAATGTAATGTAGCCTACAAAGAAGCTGTCTGACTATAAAGGATAAAAACTAACATTGCATAAATTAATATAAAAACAGCTAACTTTGTTTTGCTATAGCAGATGATTAAAACATCTTAGTCTTGGTGCAGCCGAAAAGCGCTTGTGAAATGTAGATGCTTGCTTCGCGTGCATTTCGTTTCGTTTTCCCGCAAATTATAAACATTTCGCAGTATTTTTCTTCAGTACTGTATAAGGCATTATCGCAGTGCTATACCAATTAGCAGATTCCATAATATTGCTCTTTTGTAAGGATATCGGCGTTAAAATTTGTGAAGGTCACAGTTTAAATTTTCGTTTTGTTCTTGTTTAAAAATTTTACTTATTGCCATGAAACTTCCGCACGTTTTACACGTGTTTCTTTTTAAATTAATTTATTTATTTTATTGTAAACTTTGCAGCGAAACTAATGCACCATGTAGATTATGCATATTATCATGTATGCTGGAAAGATCTATTTTGCTCTTGGATAAGTGTTAAAATGAACATCATATATAATCATAATGTAATCGTATAGTAGTGTAAATCCCTTTATACAATTACGAATTCATGCAATTAAAAAAATTCGAATATTAACGACTTGAATTAATATTAAATTTTTTCTGGTTAAAAGAAATCAGTGTAAAAGACTAGTAGAAGGAATAACAAGAATTATTAAAAGTGAAAGACAGAAATTAATGATTTAAAGATAGTCGAAAATGAAGAGTTCGGTGTAATTGAATCACACAACGAAATGAAAGAATCCGTCAGATAAATTTCTGTAGAAATTAATCACAGATGTTATTGATGATTTGAAAATAAGTATTAGTCCTTTCTTAGATATTATTTAAATTGCAAATTTCATTCACTGTATTAAATAAGATAATTTGAATTCATGGGATTTGCATCTACTAACACACGAACTGTCATCTGTGTTAGTAGATTTAAATTCAACGAACACATCTGTTGTAACTAGAAAATAGAAACATAACTATGTATCTCATTCATCTGTAGTTAGCGAAACTTTATGTTAATTATAAACGTTTCTGCAAAAAAATAAAAGGTAATTTTTATATAAATTTTTCTTATGTTAAAATATATTATTTATTATTATTATTATTTGAAGTGAAGAAAATTGTGGAATTAAGAATATTTCTTACACTTCAAAAACCTTAAAGTAACTTATGTAATTCCCGATTTTTCTGTCACGTTGGCTTCGTTTAAGCTTAAGTTGAGCTCACTAATACCTAACTTTCTTTATATAAAATTTGAATTTACTCTCTACAAAAAAAGGTCATTTTATTCGTATTTACATCACAACACGTAATACATATTTTTAACATGAACAATAAATTTATATAAATGTTTCGTAATAATATAAAATATAGTAAAAAATTATTTATTTATCCTTGAAAATTCTTTATATTCGAAAATAAACGTGAAGGGCAATCCAATTGCCGACTACAATAGTATACTATTGTCTGCCAATTAGATTGTCCGTCACTAAACTATAAATTGTGTTAAACCGATTATTTTATTAGCATCTGGACAATTCAAAAAGTATATTTATATTAAATATTAAAAGTATAAGTAATTCAAAAATATTTAGGATAAGATCAATAGTTAACGTTTCGTGGCATTTGATAGATAAGTCAACTATTTGGTGCGTGGAGTCACGGTTAAAAGGAACCAAAACAAATTATCACGTGGCACGGAAAGGTGGAGGAGGGGGTACGACTCGTCGGATCGAGGCAGATAATAATGACACGTGTTTCGCACGTGAACAGTGCGTGAACATCTGGGAAAAAATCAATGAAAACGGTGATGATATTTCCCTTTCCCAACCAAATCGATTATTGTGAAACAACATTGGAAAGAGAGGATGCGTTATTACACACGGTTGTGTAACGACATTCTCGTTATTTTAATTATAAATGTAAATTTTCCGTGTGATCTTTGGTATTTAAATGTTTTGTTATTTAACATCTCATCATATTTTATTTTTTTCAACGTATTAAATGCGTATTAAATAAATTACACAAAATTGAACATAGAAGCTTTTGATAAAGATATAACTTATTAATGAATTTACATTATTATTATTAGGAATAAGCCCTATTTAAAGATGTAGACTAAAGAAAGGCAGGAATGAAGAGATGAGTAAGTGGATAAAGAAGATAAGGTCTCAGTAGGATACTGAGCAGATAGGGTCAATCAGACAGTATGAAAAATACAATATTTGTTCAGAAATGTTTACCCACTGGCTTTCCGCGACAAAATAAAAACCTATAACATTACAAGGAATGGTAACATCCAACGTTTTACAAATAAATAAACATTTTTGCTTCACTGTTGTGAAAACGGTAACAAAAAGATAAAAACTCAATACAATATTTAAATAAAATAAGTTAACTTATGATACTACAAAAATAAATAAGCTTATGTAATTGATGCAAATACAGACTACAAGGTGTTTACATACAATTTATATTCAGATACGATGGTAACATCCAGTATACATTATAAGATTATTTTTAAAATATTTATAAACAAGTGTTTTTATAACATTTTCATTTATGTTTAGATATGATTTAGATATTTTTACAGTCGAAGTTACTTATATAAATTATGAAATTGAAATTTAAGACTTATTTAACGTACTATACAATTTAATATAATGAATGAAAACAATTATTTTTATCAAATTATTTTATTATCAATAGAATTTTATAAATGAAAACATAATTAGAATTGAATATCTGTTTTTTTAAATCAATTTCTTTCTAATACTGTAATTAAAATAAATAATTTAAATTATTCATGTTTTAAATTGATTTAAATTATTTCTTTTAAAATTATTTATCCTTTCTTTATAAATTATCATTGATTAATTTTAATTTAATTTAATTAGATCTACAGATTTTCTTATGTTTTTAGGCCTATCCATAAGAAAAAAGTGGTAGAAAATAACTTTTTAAAAAAAAAAGTATCTAATATTATTTTGAAATAAATGAATCAACACAATCATAGATTTAAAATATATTTATCTAAATGATTTACAAAGAATATCATAGGGTATTTACAATTGATTCGGCGGTAGGTCTATCAATTCGCTTTCATTTATCTTTAAGTTTTATCTATGAATACAACAGATAAACAACTACAAAAGTTCTAAAGTTTCAGGGATTTTATATCAAAAGATAAAAGAGTTCTTCCTTAAGTCAAATCTGGTACAAAGATTAAAAGCTATGCAGATAAATACTGTGATTAATACGAGATCTATTATTGAAAGTATAACGCAACATTTTATACTCTATATCGTAAGTTTACTTAACGGTTTAATAAAGTTTTAGGTCATCGAATATAACTACTAAACTAATTAAATTTTTAAAAAAATTATTTGTTTTGTTTAGGCTATATATAGCTTATACGTATCTTTTATACGCCGTAATTCTAAAAATACGGTAGATTTTAATTTAAAAAATTATAATGCTATAGAAGAAAACAAAGAAATTAATTTTCATAAAAAAGAATTTCCATTCTTGTCTTAATTATTAGTACAGATTTATTATTTAGAAATTGCATACTTGAAAACCAAATGTTTATAATTTTATCTTCCTTTTTAACTATACAATTTATCATTTATTGTTTTATACATTTAATCTTTAAGAATGACATTGAAATTTTTGAGTGAAACACAGAAATAAAGTATAAGAATAGATGGAAAAACCTTCCCAAAATTTCTTTCCTGTTTTTATGCTTCAATGATTTATTCTTGAATTATAACAAGAAAATCGAATTTCTGAAGAAATTTAAAGCTATTTTATAATACTTTATGTTTTTTACATGCTCGGATTTTTAAATAAAAAAAGCCTTTATTTCAAATATAAAAGAAAATTTAAATAAATTATTTTTAATGTCTACATTAACTTACAAAGCGTATACAAAATTTTCGACATTGTTTCACACTTAAATGTAATTTAGAGTAATAATCATTTACTGAAAAAACTACAATAACAAATTACAATAATTGTAATCCATTAATGTGTAAAAAATACATTAAGAAAGGAGTGTGGCGAATACAAGAAGAACTAGTATATAGCAACAATTCTTTCGGCAATTTTTTTGAAAGAAAATTACGTGATGATAACCTTGTCAACCCTTTCCTTATACTATTTAAATGTATAAAAATACGTTTCTGATTAATTAATTACAATACTACAATATAAAAAGGAACTATGACAATAAATGTAAATTTAATTAAATTATAAACTAAATGTAGATAGCGGTTTTTTTTTTATTATTTATTAACGATTATCTCACAATTCAATTGACAAATCTTAATTTATTTAAACTTATATAGTAACGAGATTTTCAGATATTAGTCACAGAAGATAAAAAAGATTAAAATAAATTGGTCATATATTTGATTTTCGTTATGTTTACTCAACATTGAGCAATCTATAAAAACATTTAAGAATACTTTAAATAAATAAATAAATAAATAAATAAATAAATATTGTTAAAATTAGTGTACATTCGATATCTTTTCATCCCTTAATAAATTATTCACGAACGCTTTCAATTTGGAAATAAATAAACGGTGATAAATTTTTATAGAGAGAATATTCTCACAAACACGCATGAAAATTTTAAAACAAAGTAAATTACTGTTTTAACTGATTAATTATTGATCTCAAATACTCTAATTTCGAATATTTTAGAAGAAATACGCCAATGAGAAGATGCGGAAGCCCAAATCTTTGAATTAATCTTCCAGCCGATCACAAAAAAATAATCGGTTCTTTTTAGAAAAGTACAGCAACTAGTTTAAAATTTTTTTAAAAAGATATTCTAAAGAAGTTCAAGCAATTATTTGTTCTAAGAAGCGATCTCCAACGAGTTTGAATCTTCGAATGTGGTTCGACGCGTTTTGTATTAGAAAAAAAATACAAAGAATTCGTTATATATATTTTAAGACCCGAGTATTAAATAGATGCAACGGGTTTTGTTGTTTGTGCATAAATTTGAAAGGAACTGTACATTATCCAGTTGATTCTTCCTTCTTTAGCCCGGAGCTTTCAGAGATTGCATCAGCAATGAGTAACAGCCACTCGGCGTTACGACTTGCTGGACTGCGGCTTTGGTATCGACCAGCGAGTGCTGCCATCGACGTCTCAGAATGCTTCTAACGTCAACCCCTCGACCAGACGCCTGTATCGATCTAATAAATCCATTGATAATACCGAGGACGAGTCGACTACTAGACTTAATATATTCGGAAACGATCGACTGTAACGTAATTGTTATTCTAGAAGCGCTACGTGACGACACACTACTATTAAAATTAGTGTAATTTATGATTAAATACTCACCCAGAACTCGGTACTACAAAATTCTGCCACTTTCATTTATAACGATCTACTGGTATTATGGTCTTCTATACAATTAACCACGTGACCGGCGAACGCACTCTAGCGGCCGTTAACGGTTCTAATTTTACTCAGGTTATCCGACACGCTAACAGGAAATGAGAAGGATAAGAGCGAGGATTCGTCCATTCGGCTTCACTTCCGGATGTAGAAGTAGACTCGTCTTCGAAGAGGAGTGTACGTGTAGTCTTTGTACAGTACAGTCGATACCTGTACGGTTGTCTTCATAGTCTTGAACGAGGCCCGCCTGTTTGGGTTGCATGAATCGAGACTACACTTTCTATTGTCTCAATACCCAATTGCATACGATCTTTTAGTTAAAATATTTTGAATGCAATAAGTTTTGAATATATTTCTTTTATTTTATGCCTAAAATTGCATGAAAAATATATTTTTTAAATATAATTTTTTAAAAGTATTTATACTTCTAACACAATAGATTCTTTGTTGTTTCTTATATTACACAACGATAAATTGCGTGTAACGAGATTTAGAAACAACAATGTTACATAAACGTATCTAAAGTTAATTGTATGCCGTTTTATTGATCATTTTTTCTTATTTTCATGAAA